ATGGCTAGCTGCATGATCTTGTTACTTGGTTGATTTTTGGATTCTTCTGATTATTAGTATTCCAGTTGCATGCCTCTATCGTTATTACTATCATCACATGTTCTATTTCTATTTCTGTTATCGCATTGACCACACATATGTTATTATTACTGTTATTGTATTTTGTTCCTGGCTTGGGGGATCTTGCCGTGTGTTATACACGCTGACGTACTCCTATTTTCTGGGTGTACGTCAGATTTAGGAGACAGACAGGCTCAATTCGGAATCGTACAGGAGCCAGATGATTCTCAGCCGGGTGCCTTACAGAAGGAGTAGAAGAACCAGCTGAAGCGTAATGGTTTTCTTTCATAGTAGTAGTTGGATATTAAAACTCTTTTACCGTACTTTTCTTTAGTTTGATGATAGATTTAGTTATTTTATTTCCTTTTATTATGGACTATGTATTTCTTATTTCCTATTTGAACTGTTGTTGTAATAAGGGTACGTTTGACCCATATTTTATGTCTGGGATGATTTACCATTGATGATATGTCTATTTTTATTCTGGGTTGTCTTTATATTCTTGCTATGTGTGATCGGGGACCTGTGACTTCGCATTGTACTTATTTCCAGACGCTTAGCGTATTGGATTGAGAAGAAAAGAAAAGAGAAAAAAAAGTAGAGTATATTTCTTCTCAATCTAATACGTCGCGGGCTTGTTCACGTTCCGGTTCCCGTGTATTTCGGGAAGCGGGGCGTGACATAAAGATACCTTTCGACTTAGACTTGAGATTCCTCATGTCGACTTCGACCTAAAGACGCCTTTTGATTAAACTTGGACTATTTACAGGGTCACCTTGGTTGGTCGGGCCGTATTTATACTCAAGTCGGGTATCTTGGTTCACATGATTCGAACCACTTGACTGACATGTGGCCCACTCTACATAAACATAGACTCGAGACCCTACATCGACCTAAATCGACATGTACACTGGAAAAAAGTATGTAGATAAGTATGGGCCAACTATGCACATCGTACAGAAGATGAGGCACTGACACGATTTGACCTCTCCCTCACAAGTCTAATCGCAATTGTCTCTCATTTAATGCATTGACTTTGGCGAATCGTGACACACATAAATCTAGGGGCACAGTCCTGAGGCAATGGACCACTGAACCCAGTGTATCACTCGAATTGCTCACACTAGGGCTGGATGGTCATAATATAGTGAATTGATTGGACAAAAGTAATGATGACGATGACTTCTCAACTATGTACAATGATGGGGAGGCACATCGCATTTGATGCGAGATGACCAAAGAGATGGCAACCATAGTGAAAAATAAGGATTCGTGGGATACCCACAATGTATTTAATAAAAATTCAGTAAAATGATGGATGTGATAGATTGGCAACATGACTGATACACGGGCATGAACCCGACTGGGTACAGACAAACTCCACCCGCAATTTAACAGGAGCCCTATAAATACCACTCTTCATTTAATTCTAAGGGAAGAGGAATTCTAAACATTAATTGTGTCGTCACTCTCATTCACATGTTCCTCAATCAACCAAAGCTTAAAATCCATGGAAAAGAAGCTCATCTTGTGAACTTTATTCATCCTTAGTCGCACAACAATCGATATTTGATTGTTGTTGGCACTCTTTCTACTTGTTCAGCAAGGTGAACCCTGCACAACAAGTTCATTCATCATCTTCAATAGCTCTCGAAGTGGCCTAGCTTGATCTCACAAATCATCCAAAGAACAATGCTATTTTATTTGTATGGTTTACAGAGCCAACATCCAGTCTCTACTGGTATAGCTTCCAAGAATCTCAAGTTTAACTAAAGCTATTGTAACATTACTTGTTGTTTTCCAAGAGGTTAACAAAAGAGAACAACTATTTCATCATCTCCACTAGTAGAAAACAGAGCATTGGCGATGGGGTATTGGCGACGGATTCGAAATCTGTCACCAATACAAACATTAGCGACGGAAATAAACCCGTCGCCAATACCCCATCGCCAGTGTTTGTATTAGCGACGGATTTGGGTCGTCCCAATGTTTTTCTGTCACCAATGACCATTGGCGACGGAAACGATCCGTCGTTAATGTTTCCGTTGCCAATAACAATTGGCGACGGCAAACATTAGCGACGGATCGTGTATGTCGCCAATAGGTATTGGCGACGGATCGTGTACGTCGCCAATAAGTATTGGCGACGGATCATGTTTGTCGCCAATGTGTATTGGCGACGGATGCGTTCCGTCGCCAATACTAATGTGCCCATCGTAAAAATTTTAAATTATTAATTGATTATCCTATTGTTAAGGAGTGGCGTCCACAAAAAAATTAAGAATTATTTTAATATTAGTCCCTCAAATCTATAATATTTAAAAAGTAGTCCACCAAATTATGTAAATTGCATACTAACATATCTAGGGTTGTAATTGAACCAAATAATTAACAAATAGTTCGATAATTGTTCAAATAACTTTTCAGTCATATTCGATTCGGTAGTTCATTTAACACATTCAAGTTTGCTAACGATTAGAATTTGACCAGATGTGCGTATATTCGATTCGTTTGTTTATTAAATATTCGTTTAAAATTGATCACATGTTATTATTTGTATTATTGCGTTTAAAATTGATCACATGTTATTATTTGTATTATTGCATATATGATGTCATATTTGTGTGTTTTTGGCTTCATCTTTGATTAGTTTAGAGAAAATTTGTATTATTGCATATATGATGTCATATTTGTGTGTTTTTGGCTTCATCTTTGATTAGTTTAGAGAAAATAATGAGAAAAGTAAAAATGATGAGAAAATGGTGAGAGACCAATGATGAGATTATTTTTAGTTATACGCGTTACGAACATGTAACCATATTGATTTTTCTACTGATATACCAGAACTTATCATAGTTCTTATCAATTAATTAGGAGTCCTATGTTATTTTTAAAATTTATTTTTAATTGTTTACTTTTAAAATTTATTTTTTAGTATTTGAGTTTGCTAACGATTAGAATTTGATCAGATGTATATTCGATTTCTTTTAAAATTTATTTTTTAGTATTTGAGTTTGCTAACGATTAGAATTTGATCAGATGTATATTCGATTTATTTGTTTATTAAATATTCATTTAAACGATTAGAATTTGATCAGATGTATATTCGATTTATTTGTTTATTAAATATTCATTTAAAATTGATCACAAGTTATTGTTTGTATTTTGCATATATGATGTCATATTTTTAACCACTTATCATTTCTACTTAAGTTTTATATACCGATTTTAAGACTCAAATAATTTAAATCTATTTTCTAATTAAATTTTGATTTAAATATATACACATCATATATATAGTAAAAAAGGAATAATTTTTATTTATTAGTTTTAATAATACTTGAAAATTTATTTCTTTAGCGGAATAAATATACTTTGATATTCGATTAGTATTGGTGAGTTTTTGACTTTGACTTTGATTAGTTTAGAGAAAATGATGTGAAAAGTGAAAATGATGAGAAAATGGTGAGATACCAATGAGAATATCATTTTTAGTTATACGTGGTACGAACATGTAACTATATTGATCTTGCTATTTATATACCAGAACTTATCATAACCCTTTTTAATTAATTAGGAATTCTATGTTAATTATAAAATTTATTTATTTTTATTCTTTATGCTAGTAGATTCGATGGCCTCCACTACTATTGGCTTCATTTACGAATGAACTTGAGCCTGTAAACATCATTAATGAATCTGAGAGGAGCTAAATTAGATTTAATCACTAAAAACCGGATGAAAATAGTTTGTATAGAGTTCTCTTAGAGTTTTTATAAGGTTAAGAGGAGAAATAGCCGTCGAAATTGAGTTCGAGCGAATATGATATATGTTAGAGAAAAACGTTTTTAATGGATATGGGTTTCCACGCTTAAAAGTTAAGAGAAACTGATAATAATAGTTACATTTAAAGTCAGTCTACTGTGGAGTCTCATCTACTAGCTCATATGACGGCGACTATGTGTGAACTCCGTCATAACAACTATTAAACATTTCAATCCTCTGCGCATAACTATGCGAAAACAAATAGGTATGTCAACCTCTGCACATAACCATACGGAAACAAATATGTATATCAACCTCTGCGCACACTCGTGCAGAAACAATAATATAGGTACACCGACCTCTTCGCATAACCATGCGGAAACAAATAGGTATATCAACCTCTGCGCACACTTCAAATGATTAACAAATAGTTCGATAATTGTTCAAATAACTATTCAATCATATTTGATTTGGCAGTTCATTTAACACATTCAAGTTTGCTAACGATTAGAATTTGACCAGATGTATATTCGATTCGTTTGTTTATAAAATATTCATTCGTATACGCGTTATGAACATGTAACCATATTGATTTTGATAATGATATACCAGAACTTATCATAGCTCTTTTCAATTAATTAGGAGTTCAATTAATTAGGAGTTCTATGTTAGTTTTAAATTTTATTTTTTACTCTTTATGCTAGAAGATTTGATGAGCTCTACTACTCTTTATTCTTTATGCTACCAGATTCAATGAGCTCTACTATTCTTTATGCTAGCAGATTCTATGTTAGTTTTAAAATTTATTTTTATTCTTTATTTTTAAAATTTATTTTTTTAGTATTCGAATAAATTTATGGTATAAGCATGCATATTTCGTATTTATAATTTTATTTTATTTTTACATGAAGGAATGTCCTCACGACCTTCTTGTAGTCCATTATCTCTACATGGATCCTCACCCGTTGAAGGTATGTATTTATTTAATTTCATTAAGTTAAATGAGGAACTTATTTACTTATATCGTTTTTTGTTACTTTCGTAGATATTGCGGGGACATATACTAAAAAATTGCTTTATTTTGAAGGATAAATGTTCCAAAAAAATACTTTTTTCATTTCCCTGCCTCCTTTTTCATTTCCCCGCTCCCTCTAAAAACCCCCCAAAATGCTGCCTCACGCCACTCAAATCACTAATCACTAAACATTGATTATTACCTTCTTCATTTGTTATCCCGTTACTCAAATCATTAATCTCTCCTTTTTTTCTCTTGTTTCAGGCCATCTCCAATCAAGCCCTCCTCCAATTCTATCTCCGATCCCATCCTCCCCTATTTACAGTAAGTGATCTATTTCACTGACCCACTTCAATTTCTCTAATGGGTTTTTGATGTTGTTTATTTTGGTTCAATTTTCAGGTCAATTAGCAGTGAATTGGGCAAATTCGAGAGAAACCCAGATGGGCCGGATCAAAAGCTCAAGGCCCTTTTGGAGGATTGCGTTCAGAGGTACTTTCAGGTTTCTGGAACAAATGCAAATGAGGCTTTTTTTTCTTTGATGAATGAAATCAGAAAAGTTCATGATTCTGTGCATGTGAAGCCGAAGGGTCCGCCAAAAGAAAAACGACAGCAATCTTTAGGGGGGGAAATTGTCAAAGCCAAGAGAAAGAAGGTTTTTTAGTTTTATTACTCATATGATTTATATGTTTAAGAAATTGTCAAATTAGGTATCAATTCTCATCTAATAGGCAATATACTTGAATGTGTAGATATAGGAGGATCAAGTCCAAAGAGCTAAGAGTCCCGCAGATAAGTAGAAGTGCAGGTATGGCATTAACAAAGGAAATTTTTCTTTGCTTATATTCTCTCTTTGCAGATTTGATGAAATTTATTGGATCTTTTTGGACTAGTTAATCCATAACATTTTCTTATACATGTTTTTATTTATTTATTTATATTTGTAGAAGTTTGCAATGTGGAGAGTTAAACATGCTCCGAGTTGTCGAAACTGAAAAGCTTGTTCAAAATCAAATGGAGAGTCTTCATTTTGTTTGTGTGGTACTATTGGTTTAGAAGTTGGAATTTTAATGTATGAAATCTCTATAGCACTTGCAAGAGTTTTCTATCATGTAAAAGCGACCTTTCGAATAGTTATTGAAACATTTATCTCTTTTCTCTTCTTATTTTTCAGATATAGTTCATTGATCCAACCTGTTAAAAATTCCTGTACAATGCTCTATGTAGCCATTCATTCAGTTAATTCATAGGTAAAGATACAATAAAATCAAGAGATAATAAAATATTCATAGTTTGAGTTAAAATTCCTTTGTTTTTCATGAAGTAGGGAATTAGTCCAATACAGAATTTTAACTGAATAATAAAACTATTTTCACTTTCTACGACAAAGGTATTTCATACTAGATTGCAGACAAGCTATAATGCTCCGAAGGGGAGTAAGTGTAAGTTCAGTGCATTCATTGCATCACAAACACTGTGTTCAACTATGCTTCTACCCTACAATTCTTTTGGTGACTGCAGAATTGATGTTTCACTCTTTTCTATTCAATGTGAGAGAACTATCAATTATAAATCTCTTGTTCGTAAGAGATTCTATCGCTCCATTGTTCGTAAGAGATTTCTATTCAGGTTTCCTACATGAATCCTCTTGTTTTCGTTCAACTATAGTAAGGGCCATCTTGTATTTTCATGTGCTAAACTAGTGTCAGTTAGTTAATACCATGTCTTTCTCTTTCGTTTAGCTATGCAGCGCTCAGGTGAAAATGTAGCACTCATGTCAAACTGAGGTAGTGCTAGTCTTTCCTAACCTAAATATGCATATGATGAGCATAGTTATCATGATTGCCAAAAACTAGTCTGGAGATTCATGGGCTTAGACCAGCTTGGCAACTTCTCACCTTTATACTATATATACTCTTATGTTGAGTGGTAATCTTTTCAGGTTAGAGGAGGTACTCTCGTAGGGAGCAGCAGTACGATACGACATTCTAATATAGACGACGCTGATAATAGGGATGCCGACAACGACGATGACGAGGAATGAGTGAGACTTGTTCTTATATTTATGTAGTTTTAGATTGTGTTAAGACATGTTGTGACTTTTGAATTTTACCTATATGTAATATATTTGTGATTTTATTGTGTAGTGAATGAATATTATTTGAGCATGCGAGATGTGTTGTGATTGTGATTATATGATGAGTATTGTTCGATATTGTGAAGTGATGGATGGCGATGGATGAGTATTCATTTGGAATGTGAATGTATATAATGGTTAATTTTATGATATATTGTTAAATATTGTCATTGGATTAATGTCGATACATGCTATATGTGTATTATCGTATGGGATGCTACCAGAAAATTAAAATATTTTTTTGCGTAAATATAAACATTGGCGACGGATGTCCCCGTCGCCAATGCACATTGGCGACGGGGTGATCCGTCGCTAATGTTTAAAACATTGGCGACTGGGATTTACCCGTCGCTAATGTTTTAAACATTGGCGACGGATCTACCCGTCGCCAATGCGCATTGGCGACGGGTAAATCTAATGCCAATGCGCATTGGCGACGGGTAAATCCTTTGCTAATGCTTAAACATTAGCGACGGATCTCCCGTCACCAATGTGCATTGGTGACGGGTAAATCCGTCACCAATGTTTAAACATTGGCGACGAATTTCCCCGTCGCCAATGTTTATTGGTAACGGGAACTACCCGTCGCCAAAGAAATCCGTCGCCAATAGTCGTCCGTGCCCAATAAGTATTGGTGACGGGGAGACCCATCGCCAATACTTATTGGCGACGGATTTATTGACGACAGATCCATTTCTGTCACCAATATGTATTGGTGACGGATTTTGGGGCATTGGTGACGGAATTTCCCGTCGCCAATGCCCTGTTTTCTACTAGTGCTCGAATCATTATAAAACTTTTGACCGAAAACATTGATAAATTTAAGAAATAAGGTAATTGTCATTAATGTTAAAGCTTGGATGTTTAGTTTATCAAGAATCTAATGTGACCATATTTGAAAATATTTTAGTTAATGATTGGTAAATAGACTATAAAAATTATCACTTTTAACAGTTATAGTATAACCTTAACATGTACACCATAACCTTAACAGGTATGACATAACATTAACAGATATGTGATAAGATTAATAGGTATGCCATAACCTTCATAGGTACATCATAATTTTAGCGTCTACATGATGAGATTAACATGTATGCTATAACCTTCACATATATATTACAACCTTTACATATACATCATAACCTTAACATGTATATCATGACATCAATTGCACAGTGAGAACTTCGTGATATTTCCCTCTTTTTGTTATAAAATTATATGTCCCCCTTCCCCTCTTCATCTTAATGATGCCAATTAGTGTGATCTCAGTCATTGCTACCCCCTTTCTCTCTTTTGCATTGGAGTCCTTGCCAACTTAGTGTAAAGGAGCCACAATACATCACATAGACCAAAAGCCAAGAAAATTTCTCCTAAAAATAGAATTTTCCATTTCTTGACAAGCGTAATTATCAGTAATCAATAGATGAACCCAAAAATTAGACCCATAAAATCAAAAAAAAAAAAAAATAGAAAGATCGGCATACAACATAAAATTCTTATAAGGTGTATCATTCGGCATGTATTCTACAGAAGCCTCTCATCTCCATCACAATAATATTCAATCAATTTCCTCACTCTCCATCTCTAAAACATCATCATAAAAACCAAAATCAACTCCTCAAACAACTCCTCCTCTTCTTCGCCCCTCTCAAAACCCACCAAGTCCATAACACTCACAATTCCCTCTGTCCCAACTCCCCATCATCATCACCATCATCATCACCCCATTAGAGAACCAAAATCAACTCCTCTAACAACAACTCTTCCTCTTTTTCCTCCTTAAACCCACCAAACTTATAAACCTCACAAATCCGACAATGGTAGTGGTGAGGTGGTGGCATAGAGTGTAGCCGATGGTGGCAGTTGTGGTGATTCGGTTGGAGATGGATTTTAAATAGATAATAGATCTGATGGTTATTTCAATGGGTTTAGGGTTTAGAAAAATTACACGAGGGACTTTTTTGGAGAGCTTGATTGTGACTTTTAAGTTGGGAGGAGGGAAGTGAGGAGAGAGGGAGGAGGGGGAGAGTGGAGTGAGGGCAAGAGAGGGAGAGGGATGAGTTGGGAGGGGGAAGAAAGAGGAGAAATTTCACTATGGCTATGTGTTTTTATCAAAAGTTGTTTTTTCCATTGCTTTCAAACCTGTTACACAGTTTATCGATTACAAGTTCAAACTGAAAGAAAAATTGATCTTTTTATAAGATCTTCTTACAATGAAAAATAAAGATGACAACTTTATCAAACAAAACACAGCAGTAGTTTATCTCCCGCTGCTTTGCGTGGGATCTTTACCTATGTCGGGGACGCGTTAGTTTGTGGACCACCGCCAGATCAAACCCAATTGATAGTATAACTACGCTCTTGTTTCACGAAGGAAACAATTACGGCAGCAACAATCACGACTAAGCGAGATTGTGGCTCTTCTTGAGATTAAAACCAAGTTTAATCCGGAGGAAAGAAGGGGAAAGAATCACAAACCTTTCGAAGGATTTTCTTTATGAAAAGATTCGCCAAGATCTGATGATTCTCCTCTAAAATTCGTGGTTAACTGGATAAGTTGACAACACCTCGCCTTCCAAACTTCAGATCCTCTTGAAAGAAGACCCTAGGCTTCTATTTATAGGCTTTTGGAGACGTGTTTTCGGATAAGAATTGATGTTTTAACGTTATCTGCAATTAATAACCGTTTAAACGCGTTTAGGGATAGCTTTAAAACAGTTGGGGAGGACCTGGGACGAAAGAATCCTTAAAAATCATCAAAAATCCGTGTTTTGGGGGTCTTGGGAGTCGAAGCAGTCATACTATGCGAGCCACCATTTGGTGGCTCACATGGGTGCGAGCCACCATTTGGTAGCTCGCACTTACGCGGGCCTCCTGGCGTGTTTTGTTCATCTTTTTTATATTTCGGCCAGTTGTGACTCCTCAAGTTCACTTATTTTGCATACGGTTCATCATTTCGCTAACTTACATATTTCACCGATCCACTTCATACGTTTACTGGTGTTGGATAAATTCCCTTGACTCAGATAATTGCGTTCATTGTCTTCTTGTTATCTTGAATTGTGTTTGGATACCTATAGGTAATTTTTGACGCCTACAGATACCCCCTCCAAAGTGTTTCAGTCTCGTTTCTTTTATAGAAAAGCCTGAAATACTTTGGACTTGATAGGCCCAACCTTCAATCGGCATAAAAGGACTTGTAATTGGCTTCAGATCTTGACTTCTTTAATTCTCAATCTATTCAGTATCTTGTCGAATAGCTAAAAAATTTTTGGTTCTGCGTTTATCGTCTGACCGCTGTCGAAGTCTCGAATTGAAACTCGTGTGTTGATTGGTGTCGTTGAGTTGACGTTGAACGGACTATCTTTGTTGGGAATTCATATCTGAACGTGATTGAACTCCTTGCCATCATTCTTTAATTCTTATTTTGGCGAAATTTGACGACGCGTTGACAGGCGTTGACCAAAAGCTACGCGTTGGCCAGCGTTAACACAGTTTATACTCATACGTCAACTGGAGTCTACACAGTTTAGGCTCTTAAGGTGTTAGAGCTGAGAGGACCAGTTTATACTTGTATGCTCTTGGGAGTTTCGGAAACTAGTTTAGCCTCATATACCCGTCGGAGGTCATCGGATTATTCTTAATAATATTCCACACGATATTCTCCAGAAACTTCCCGTCGAGGGTAGGAAAAAGTTTAAACTCATATACCCATTGGAGTATAAAGAGCTAGTTGAGAGACTGAGGAGCAGTTTAATTCGGTTCAATTTCGGCTTGGCTTGGTTCGGGCGGTTCAGGGTTTGGTTCGGTTCAGGGCTCTTTTAAAACTCCGACTTCTTCATCTTCTCCTTTTCTTCTTTTTATCTTCGTCGTTTCAAATCTTTTCTCTAAGCCGATTCCTCAAGAACCCATTTCAGGCATCTTCCAAATCCTCTTTGCTCTTTGCCTCTTTGAATCATGTCTTCGAATCCCTTTGATTTCGTCGAATTCAATCTTGAGGGCTAGGGTTTTGGTTTAAGTCTTAAGATTGAGGCTTGCTGTGAATTCCGGTTTGCACCGTTCAGCTCATCTCCCCTTCAAGCTCTAGGTAAGCCTCAAGGTCCTCACTTTAACTTTGGTCAAGTCTTTGAGTTTTGGCTTGATAGTTGAAACCCTAGTTCTTGAATTTGGGGAAAAACCAAAATCTGATTTTAGGCATTGAGTGATGGCCGGATTTCTTGGCTTTGGTTGTGTGCATAACTTGATAATTGAAGCCCTAGCTCTTCAATCTTAGGGAAAACCGAAATTTGCAATTTGGGGTTTGGACTTTGAATAATGGCCGAAATTTTCCTTAACTCTTGGTTGATGTTGATGAAAACTGAAATTAAGCTTGGCTGTGAATGATGGCTGGTTTTTTTTAGCTTTTGGTTGATGACTGATGATCGATGACTTGAATCTCAAACTTGTACATTGCCGAGTTTTTTTTTCTTTAATTCTTGGTTGATGTTGATGACTTGAATCTCGAACTTGGCTATACTTAGGCTTGTAATCCTTAGGCTTTTAGTCATGCATGAGAACTGAATTTATAGGCGTGTCGAGCTATCTTGTTTGGCCACGCGTATGAGAGGTTTAGTTTGTGTTCACCCTTTTGGTTTCAACAATTTGGTTTGAACTTTCAGTCGTGCGTGATAACCGCCATATTGGGCTTTTAGCGTACACGATAGCCTGATTTGTAGGCACGTCATGCTTTATTGTTGGCCACGTAGATGACTTTGGCCAAAATCCTAAAATTCTAGCTTAATTTGTTGCACGACCTGTTGTGGGTTGAAACCGAATCTGCATCAGGCCCACCACTTAGGTTTAATTGGATTTTTAACCGACCAATCCTATTTCTTAGAATAGCATAATTTTCTTCTTGCATTAATCTGATACTTCCCAACTTTTGACGTAATTGAATTGCTAACTCTCTTTGCAGATATGTCGCCTAAGAGATCTCGCATTGCTCGAGGCTGTTCGGTGACTCAGTCGCCCGAGCCGACGCCGTTTAGCTGCAAAGGTATATCATCATTGCCTCTTT